GGAGAAGAATTGGGAATAACAAGGTCAGTAAAAATCCCGCATAGAACAGGGAACAGAGAGGCTAAAATAATTTGCATTCCTCGTGGTTTTAATTTCATTGCAATTCCTGATCACATACAATCTCAACCATGGGAAGCCACTCAAGCTTTGTCAGCCCCTGTGACAATATTTTGGGGCAAATGCATTGAAAGCAACCTTCATCTCTCTCAATCTCACACAGTCTGCAGGCACAGGCTTTCTTTGACTGCATAGGCAGGTGGAGGGACCCCTCCTTCTGCATTTAGATTCCACTTGATTCACACTTTAACACATTACGTACAATTGAACAAGTCTGACACTCTAACTGTGAGCTCTCACATCCTTTCTTCTTATGCTGGGAGCCTCGATAGAATCTGTTACTTGCTAAGAGTGTGATGAATGAATGAGTTGGTTGAAATAGGATTACCTTATTTTTATTTATTTTATGCTGCTGGGGATCAAACCCAGGCCTTGCACATGCTAAGCACGTGCTCTACTACTGAGCTATACCCTCAGTCCTTGGATTACCTTATTGAGATGCTGAAGTCAAGCCAAGTCCCTTGATTTGCCAAGGGTAGTGTGTTATTTTCCATTCCATTTGGTTCAGTGATATGAAAAAAATGTACATAATAGGGCTGGGGATTTGGCTCAGTGGCACCTGCCTTGCAAATGCAAGGTCCTGAATTTGATCCCCAATACCAAAAAAAAAAAGTACATAATACTAGTACATATTTCAAATGCTAGTTCATATGAGGGAGAATCTCTCAACAGCGTTATCTAAATTTTTCTTTAATTCCCTGGATTGAGGTCAGTTTTGTAGTTAATGTTGGGTTCCTGACCAAACACAGCTTGTGCCAGATATGAAAAAAGAAACAGCTAGTTTTTCATAGTTCAGATGAAGATACAACTGTGGGAATATGTACAATTCTTTCTCTAGCTCTGGTAAAGTCAATGAAAAGCCAACCCAGCTTGGCTCTCCTGTGTACTCAGATGGAAATGGGGGCAGATGAGGACTGTTAGACAGGAGGAGATGGAGCAAGAGGAAATAGGCCCATTCTGCAAGTCTTTGTTCAATAAGGCCAGCTTTGGCACAAACAGCAGGGGAAAATATTGGTCCCCTTCAGGAGGGAAAAATCTCTCTTTAGCTATGTTTTAGGAAACACTGAAACAATTTTGAAAACTTCAGTTTATAAGGAAAAAGAAAAGACCTATCTATTAAAATGAAAAAAAATGCAGATCAAGACTTAAGAACAGAAATGACTTATTATAGCACAGGTTATAACTGCCAAAAAGTATAAAACAAGTGACTGAATGGACATAAAATAGTATTTTTCATTGATTTTTTTTGCAGTGCTGGAGATCAAACCCAGGTTCCCACACATGCTAGGCAAGCACTCTACCATGGAGCTATACTCCAGCCCTCTCATTGTTATATATCTCAGAATTACTTTACAAGCAAATTGTAGTGACATGGGGAAATGCTAGTGATATAACTGAGGTGAAGATTGTAAAAAGTAAAGCTGTATTCTCAGCATAACTTGGTAATGAAAAGCACAGTTATGCACACACAAATGTAAAAAAAATGTGTTAACAAGTTTGAGAGAAGTTATTTCTAAATAATGATATGACCAGTGATTTATCTTTTTATTATTTTTCAAAAACTGCCACATACATGGCAGCACTTGAAACATTAGAACCCTTTTGGAAAAATCTATGTAAGCAGTAGCAAACACAGAACTTTAACTGTGCCCCCAGGGACAAATACACAAAAATATGGGTATACCTTTATTTCAGGGTGACAATAGCCCTGGCCATCAAAATTTTATGACTCTCCTATGGGAGGTTTAACCACAGTGCCTAAGATGCACGTGGCATCCTTGTCATCCCTTACACCAGCTCCATTTGCAACACAGAGTTTCACAATCCCCATGCGTAGGGTTGGCCACGAGCCAGGTGTGGGGACCAGCACATGAAGCTCAAGTGCTGAGCAAGATCAGTTGGGTTTCTTTCATGCAGGAACCTAGGCTGGATTACAAAGGAGAAAAAGAGAGAAGATACATAAAAAGACCCCACATTCAAGAGACAGCTAGAGCATTGTGATAGTACGCAGTGACCTCCAAAGAAGCATTCATCTTCTGGTGTCCACATCCCTGTGAATTCCCTGTCATGCCGAGCCTGTCTACATGACTTGATTTTGCCCATAGGACATCAGTGAACACAACACCGGTACTTGACAGACACGTGTACACTGGGGCTGGGGGTGGGACCCGGAGACCACCATTCTGTTAAAAAACCTGGGATTCAGGCAAGGGGTGTAGCTCATGAGTAGAGTTCCTGCTTCCCATGCTTGAGGCCCTGGCTTAACATCCTTCCTCCCAAAAAAGGCCTGGGATTAACAGCTACATTGAAAGAGACCCAGGCATGCGAGGTTTGTTTCAGCTGAACCCAGAGTAGATTAGTAGAACTACCCAGCCATCACAGTGAATCATGAGGAAAAAAAAAAATCACCCTTTTCAGCCAGTATGTTTTAGAAGTGGTTTGTTAGTAGCAATAGATAATTCAGGTACTCACAAGAGGGACTCCTGTTGCTGAGGTTACCCCTCGAATCTATTTTTTTTCCAAACTGCTTTTATGCCTGGATCACTTAAATGGAGTTGACCGTCTGTTCTGGGATTCTTTGAGATTCTCACTTTTCACTCTACTTCCCACAGTCTTATAATAACCCCGCATTACTGTAAAGTAGTGGTTCTCAAACCCAAGCATTCAAAGAGCTGAGCCAAAGTGCAAAGTGTCATTGGGGAGGAACATTATTGATCTTGTTTACTGGAACTTGCCCATGCCTAGAATGGTGTCTATCACATGGCTAGAACTTTAACAAAATAAAATGGAGTGGACCCTCAAGTTACAACCAGCCTGACATACAAACAACTTGGGTTAATTAGGTTAATGGAAGACTCATCTGTCTCTTGTTATCTATAGTGTGTACCCAGGTAAAGATCCAGATCTCAGCTGTATTGATTTACAACCAACTTCAGGAACTGATCGAGTTCGTAAGTCAAAGGTCCACTGTAAATGAACATACAGATCCTGGGAGTTTGTTTAAAATATAGATTCTAGGTTCCATCTCTGATAGATTCTGACTCGGGTGATCATATTGTTATTAAACCTCCTGATTGCTGCTAAGGCAGGTTTAACCAATTTTCCAGCTGACTGTTTATCAGAATTACCTGGAAAACCTATTAACAATGTTAGTTCCTAATCTTTACCTCTGCCCTGCTGAATCTGAAACTCCCTAGAGGTGGAGTCTCACAGTCTGTGTTACTGAGAAGCCCCTGGGTGAACCTGGTCCACCTAGTTCACAGATAGGGCATTCGGAAATCACTGGCCCAGCTGGCAGAAGTCTCTGGGAATCACGTGGAAGCAAACACAGTCTTCTCATGCCTAAGAACAGAGAAGGTGCTGAGGATAGTTGAGCATTGTTTAACTAAGCTGTCAGGATTTTTGAAGAAAGGTTTTTGCAAGGGTAAGTATTTATTAAAGATTCTTTCTAAATGCCTCATTTGTCAAACAGAAGTGGTAACAGCTGTCTCTTGAATGCTGTGAGGACTGAAGTAAGGTATGACCACATGTTGGAACTGGAAACATCACGTGCAAGATTCTGAAGCCTTTAATGGTAAGTATGTCATGCAGGGAACTAAAATGATTCATCTGTTTTTAGGAAATTATTAGGATTTACCATGAGATCTTTTGTTCCTCTTAAGGGACATCCTGAATTCATTTGTTCAACAAATATTCATTAGCACTAAGCATATGCCATGCACTGTTTTAGGTCCTGGGGGATACAGTCAAGATTGTAACTTCATGGAGCTTATATATGAGAAGAAGACACAGTCACTGATACCTGCTTCTTAGATGACCAGGTAACTAGAGCTCCATCTTGAGAAGTGAGGAGTATGGTATCTGTGCTCTTTGTGGTGTGACTTAGCACTTTCTTCTATGAGAAGTAGATGGATTTCCACCTGCTTGATTTTGGGCTTGTCTCTGATGTACTTCAGGAGGTTAGAAGTTGCAATACAATCAGGGGCTTGAAATGTGGTTGTATGGTTAAGCTCATTCCTCTTGTGCTCTCACATCTGCCACCAAAGACTGGCCCGAGTAGATTGCTGGTTTCAGAAGGAGAAAAATGCTAAATAAACTGCAAATAAATAGTTGCTTTACAACACTGAGTTTTGGGGGTGGTTTGTTATACAGCATTGTTGGGGTGAAAGCTGACTGATACAAGGGGCTTTAATTCTATCCTTTGTGAGATCTATGTGAAACCTCTGCATTGGAGGGGCTATTTCAGAGGGATTGGGCTACTACTAGGAGAGGTTCTCATAATTTCTTACTTTAAAGTTTTAGAAGAAATGTAATATAGCCACTTGCATTAGCACCTAAGAAATCTGAGGATGTCTTGTCCCTGCAGCATAAAAGCACTTAACTAGAATAATATCTCCCTACCTGTCAGGAGGTCCCAGAGTGGTGAAATTGTTCTTGTTACACTGGCACAGAACCTGGTAGTGTTGGGTGTTCCCTACCTGTTATGAAACCAGATGAGAAACTCATCAAAATTAGCAAGTTTAATGATGTCATCTGCCCTACATCCTCTCCTGGAAGATCCCTTTCTCTATAAGAGATTATTATTGATTTGGTTTATCTGTCCTCACTCACAGAGACTAGAAGTCACTTCATTAGGCACTGGGATATAAAGGCAAATCAGACATGACTAATCTGTTCTTATAGGGGGTCACAGAAAAATAGAAGAGGCAAATAGACTATCACAAGGTGGTGAGATAAAAATCTCGAGATTATGATGGTGAGAAGTGAGATAAGCCAAACTCAGAAAGACAAATGTCATGTGTTCTCCCTAATATACAGAATTTTTAAAAATGACAGAAAAGGAGAAAGAAGACTTATTAGACAAGAGGCAGGGAATAAGGGCGATGAGAGGGCATTCTAGGTAGGTAAAGGGAGGATGGATGCGATCAAAATACACCATACACATTGAACCCCCAAAAGATGTGAAACTAGAGGGACAGCAGGGGCACTGGGATGGGGGGGATGATTAAAGTGTTATGTGCATGTACAAATCTGCCAAAAAGGAACCCGTTAATCCATATAACTAATATGCATTAATGAGAAATATGGAAAAAAAGGGGAAAAATTCTACTCCCCAATCTATCAGAGAAGTAAAAGGTTGCAAGATACTGAGGGAGCATGGGTCCATTCTGTCTGGTGGGTCAGAGACTTTAAGGATCAGTGACACTTGTGAGTGTGACGGGCAAGGAGGAGTTGACCTGGTCTTAGTGCGAAGAAGTGCAAGAACTTTAGATCCAAAATGAGACTGCAGGGGTGTGGGGAAGGGAGTGGGCAGCAGAGGGGGGTGAAGTGGAAACTCCCCTGTTAAGATCCTGGTGCAACACTTGGGGAGTCTGAGTCTGGATTGCTCCGGAGGGCCCCAGGGGAGCATGAGGATTTGAGCAGGGAGTGACCTGTTCGATTTTGCATATTTAAAGGGTCCATCTGACAACAACGCCTTGGGGAAAGACAAGGAAACTTGGCCCTGCAGTAATAAAGATGACCTGACATACCAGACAGGGTGGGAGAATTAGGAGGCTGAATGTACGGCCTGGAACCCTGAAAATTGGGAGACAGAGGTGTCAACAATGGCTTCCAACTTTCTGCTTAAACAATAAAGCAGATGGGATGCCACTCAGGGAATTTGGAAGCCTTAAGGGTAGGAGGGGATAGAAAGTGAGCCCTCTGAGGCGCATGTGGATAGGAGGGAACTGTGTGGCCTCCCAGAGAATGCCTATGTCACGTGGGCAGCTGACGTCCAGAACTCAGGAGAGATGAGTGTGGTGTGAGGTGTGTAGATGGTGGTTGACCCCAAGGGCTTGGCTTGCTATTTTGCATTCCCAGAGCTTGTAAAAACACAGCAGAGTCATTTGCACATTGGGAATGAGGTTTGGAACTCCAGAAGAATCCTAGATGGCACTTAAAATTATCCTAGGTGCTCGCAGACAGGGATTCTTGTTTAACTGTGCGTTGCCAGAACCCTCCAAAGGGCCTGGACACAGAACATACTTAGGAGTGTTAGATGAATGAATGAATGAGTGAGGATCCTTGGTGTTTGGAGATCATAGGCGGGGAACTAACATGATCAGGCCCCATTACTTGGGGGTGATTCTCTAGGTTCAAATTGTGAAATAACCAAGTTCAGAATTCCCATAATTCTATACTTCCCAGAAATTCTATCTCCATTGACTTTAAAGGAAGATGAATTTGGCCAAATTTGATTCATCCTTCAAAAACCAATGAGATTTTAGGTTTTCCAGTAAACCTTCCCGGAAGGCCCCTAACTGGTGTTCCTTCTCTTATGTTATCACAGTCTGGCCATTTGCAGTCTGTGGCACCCTCTTGGCTACTAGATCCTCAAGCATCGAGTCCTGACCAATTTATCTTCTTTTTTCCAGAACCAGACCTCTGGCCTAAGGCACAGTAGGGCAGCTCAGAACATTTGTTGAACTGAATTAAGAGGAATTTTTGCTGCTGTAGAAGGAATAGGAATAATGGTGATATAATCATTCCTGTTTATAAAGTTTCTTTAAAAATATTTTTATTAGTAAATGTTTGCAATACATAATGTTTACTTTCTTGTATGGAACTGGTACATGTACATAACAAATCTTACATCCCCTTTCCATTTGTAAAAGATCTATTTCCCTGTTTCTAATATCCATCTTTTATTCTGCTCTTTATACTTTGGGTTTTTCATAGAAGAAAAACCATGCAATATTAAAACGTATTCATCTGATTCATTTTACTTAACATTATAGTCTCAAAGTGGCACCCCTGTGGGAGGAATGAGGAAATTGCAGCCAAAGGCAGAGCAAGAACTTGTGTCATTTATTGTACAGCCTATAAATGACAAGCCAGATCTGGGCATGATGGCGCACACCTGTGATCCCAGCATTCTGGGAGGGTGAGGGAGGTGGATCACAAGTTCAAGGTCAGCCTGGACAATTTAGTGAGACTGTCTCAGAATTAAAATAAAAAAGGCTTGGGAGGATGTGGTACAGTGTGAAGGCCCTCACACAATGCACCCCCCCCCCCACAAGGCAGAACAGACTTGAACCCCACTTACTGGTCACAAGGTTGGAGAACTCACAGCTGTTCTCCTTCTCCTGGGCACAATGCAGGGCAGCTGATGAAGCAGGAGCTTGCGAATAAGAACCCTCCTTAAAAGAGCAATTTCTCCTTGCCAGGAACTGTTCAGGGTAATTTGCATCAACTCACTTATCCCTGCTGACAGTTTTGTGAGGTATTTGTGAGAACATCACTTGACTTCGAGGGGCGGGATCCAGAGGCTTGAAGAAATGCATCCATGATCATACTAAGAGGCTGAATTTATATTCAAACCTGCATGTCTTCCAGAGCCCAAGATTTGAACCTAGGAACTCAACATCAGTTTTAGATTTAGAAAAAAAGAACACACAGCCCAATGTTATATTGTATTTGTAAGACACACAGATATATGCTTCTACAGCATGGTTCCTCTTTCACTCCCTACCCTCTAATTAAAAGAAAAAGCATCTAGGCATGGTAGTGCACAACTGTAATCTCAGCTACTCAGGAGGCTGAGGCAGGAGGATCTCAAGTTCAAGGCTTGCTTGGGCAATTTAACAAGATCTTGTCTCAAAGTAGAAAGGATCAGGAATGTGGCTCAGTGGTAGAGGGCTTCCTATTACGTATGAGGGCCTGGGTTCAATCCCTGAAATAAATAAATAAATAAATAAA